GCTTCTGCCGGTACCCTGAGGCACACCTTGGCTCTGTGTTCTCTTTTTGCACCCATACACGGCTTTTGGGATAACCCCCTCACGACTTCCCCAAGCACTGGCTTCTCCTTGCCCCAATGTTAGTTTCATTATTCTCTTGGGTGTGCATCTGGGAGAAAGGGTTAGCAAGAAACATCTTATTGAAAGTTGTGGTTTCACCTCATATGAGCCGATGTGGTTTCAGCAGCTTTTAGAGAGTTGATCTTTATACAGTGTTGCAGGTTAGCATTTCTATAGTGTTTCTAAAAGAAAATATGTCCCAAATTCCAAACAACTGAATGCTGAATGAATTTGATGATGCAGTCCTTTCATAAATTGAGAATTGCATTGATCAGAGTTCTGACGTAGTGGAAAGTTCACGGACTTTAGAGACATACAGACTTGAATTTAAATCCTGGCTCTGTGTGACTTTGGGCAAATTACCTACACTCTCCGAATACGTTTCTTTACCTGTAAAATGAGGAGATAATCTTGCTTAGAGTGTTGGTACAAAGATGTAGTGAAAGTATGTATATACGGCTGCTAGCACCGTGGCTGGTACATAGTAAATACTCATAAATAACAATTATTGTATTTGCCATAAGGAAGAATTAGAACAATCTGTGATATGCATTAAATTTTTTTTTTTTTTGTGAGGAAGATCAGCCCTGAGCTAACATCCGTGCTAATCCTCCTCTTTTTGCTGAGGAAGACCGGCCCTGAGCTAACATCTATTGCCAATCCGCCTCCTTTTTTTCCCCAAAGCCCCAGTAGATAGTTGTATGTCATAGTTGCACATCCTTCTAGTTGCTGTATGTGAGACGTGGCCTCAGCATGGCCGGAGAAGCGGTGCGTCGGTGCGTGCCCAGGATCCGAACCTGGGCTGCCAGTAGTGGAGTGCGCACACTTAACCACTAAGCCACGGGGCTGGCCCTGCATTAAATTTTTAAAATAACTTTTTTACATAAAATTTCAACATAAAAGTTACTTATTTTTATTATGGAAAACTGAGGGAGAGGGGAAATTTAAAAGGAGAAAATAAAAATTAATCAAAATCTCACTATTCAATGAAAACTACTATTAACATTTTGGTGTTTTCCCTTCCAATATTTTACTATATACATGTATAGTTTACACCGTTGGGGTTAACCTAGATATAATGTTATTTTATAGCCAACATTTTCACTCAAAATATAATAAGCTCTTTTTCTTCAGTAAAAATTCTTTACAAGTGCTAGTTTTTTTGTTTTTTTTTTTAAGATTTTATTTATTTATTTTTCCCCCCAAAGCCCCAGTAGATAGTTGTATGTCATAGCTGCACATCCTTCCAGTTGCTGTATGTGGGAAGCGGCCCCAGCATGGCCGGAGAAGCGGTGGGCGCCGGGGATCCGAACCCGGGCTGCCAGCAGCGGAGCGCATGCACTTAACCGCTAAGCCATGGGGCCGGCCCACAAGTGCTAGTTTTAAACAACTTAAAATTTAAGGGAATTTTAAAACTATTCAATAACTTAATTATCCATTCCTTTAATGCTGAACAGTTACCTTATTTCCATTTTTTCACTCTCATGAACAACACTTCCATATAAAATCCTGTAAATTTTATTTTGATTTATATTTGTGTTTATTTACTTAAAATAGCTTCCTAGAAGTAGTACTGCCAAGTCAAATGGTGTGCACATTTTTAATACTCTTGCCACAGTCAGCTGAGGAGCCCTTTAGAAATGCTGTAACAACTCATACTCTGGGGTGTTTTCAAACTCATGCTATTATGGCCTTCCTGTTCACCTCTGTGAGGAGGCCAGGAATTGACTCCCCTGCCGGAGAACAGCAACTCTGGAGAGTGCACAGTGTTTGTTTGGGGCCGCCAGCATGCACTTCATTTTCCTAACAGAGCCCCGAATTCCTTTTGGGGAATTGTCTCTGCCCCTTGTGCAGTTGTGGTGGGACTTCAGAGTTGGAAGGGTCCCCAGGTGGGAGAGAGGATGACGGTGGAGAAGTCAGCTGCAGGGGCGCCCACACCCACGCCAGGCCCCCTTCCTACCCGGCTGGAGAGCAGAGCTTGTACTCCTGGGGCAGGGGCCCAGGGGCCTACATAAAAGGCTCACCCTCCGCCTTAGGTAGGTGGGTCAGGCCAGTGCTGGAGCCTTTAGATAATACCGTGGCTCTTCCTTTCCTTTCCTTAATCCCAAATTAGGCACAGAGAAGGCACTTAATCCCACAGTGCCACACTCAGGGTAGGTGCCCAGCATATGTCTGTTGAAAAGACCATGGAGGGTGACTGAGAGAGCCTGAAAGAGAGACACTGCAGGGCTGTAATATGCCCCCATATAACTGTCTCCTGGAGCCTTGTTCCCAAAGAAAACCGCTGGAGAAATCCACTTGGGACGAGGTTTGGAGCAACCCTTTCTCACGCTAGAATCATCCTGCCACCTAGTGGCGAGTGAAGGGAGATGGGCAGGGACGAGCCCCTGGCAAAGGGCCATCAGTGTGATGGCAGTCCCACCCGCAGTCCCACCAGTGGGTGGGTAGGTCAGGGGGAGACCAAGAGCAGCCTGTGGGCACCTCAGAATGCGAGGTGCTGTATGAAGGAGCCAGGACGGGAATTACTCTCAATAATAATTTCAGCTACTCTTTATCGAACACTTACTATCTGCCAAAGACTGTCCAAAGTGCTTTTCACACTTTCCATCTTTTAGGCCACCCAGCAGCCCCTTATGAGGATGGAGAAACTGAAGCCCAGAGAAGTCAAGTGAGTTGCCCAAGTTTACACAAGTAGTCAGTGGCAGAGGCAGGAATCAAATCCAGCATTATCTGACTTCATAGCTTGGGTTTCTAGGAACATTTCTAGAATCATCGAGAGATATCTCCTTCTGTTCCACCATTTCTGTTCCATCACCCCCACCCCCACCCAACCCATTCCCAAGACAGCAGAGGGTGGTTTTATTAGCTGTGGGGTGCCCAGCCCCATTTCCACCTTCTGGGCCTCTCTCGACTCTGAGCAACTCCAAAGGGAAGATTTCTCTCCCACAGCTTGGAGATGGTTGGGGGCAGAGGAGAAGGTGGTGGTGGGGTCCTTTGTCCACTGTCAACAAATAATGAAGTGTTATAGACTAACTTTCACAGTTCTTTCCCCTTATTGGTTGTGTGAGATGGAGATGCAAACTAGGCCCCTAAAAGGCACAGTCTCATTTCAGATCGGCCACTGTAAAATTTGCCTCTAAACCCAGAGAGAGTTTCTCATGCTTTCAGCAGCAATGGTGGGGCAGGCCCAGAGCTACCCCAGCCTTGCCCCAAGGGCTGAAAGAACCAACCTGCCACCCCACTGAGCACGCAAGGGGGCCAGAGGACCCGCTGGCCCACAGACACTCTCCATTTCGGGGATGCTGAGGTTTATTTAGGAAACAGCAGCCATTCTTCCTGCCTGGCCCACTCAGATGAGTAATAAACCTCTTATTCTTAGTTTAGGGTTTTGTTTTTCCTTTCCCTTTTTAGAATTTATCCTGACCCGTTTCCCAGGTTGAGAGCTTGAGCTGCATCGAGTTGATCACTCGAGGGATAAGGAGGAGGCACTTTGAAAAGGAGAGTGGTTCTCAAACGCCCTTTGACTGTGATTTCTCCAAGAATCAAAATTTGTCTGCCATAACTTCAACACCATTCATTCAATAAATACTTACCACTTGATGTCTTAAGAGATCAAAAAGGCTGATGCTTGGCATTGCCAAGGCTGCTTCTCCTCTGAGGCAGATCCTAGGCCACTCTGTCCGCTCACACAGGCACCACCATCCTGTCCTTCCTCAGCTGCTGCCAGCACCACATGCTGCCTGCCTCAGAGCAGTGGGGGCTCACCTCCTGTCCAAGCAGTGGACAACCTCTCGCCCTTTAAGTATCAGTTACTGGTTCTTAGAATCCAACATATGCACCTGTTTATTTCCCTTTTCTTGTAATGATATGATCAATTAACTTTATTCACTCATTTAATCAATCAACATTTATTGATCACCTATCATGTGCCAGGCACCAGGATACAGAGGAGTGCAAGTCTCTCACAGCTAAGACGAAGACCAGTAAATAAGACAATTACAACACGGTGTACAAAATGCTAAGCCAGAGATAGACAAAGGTACTATGGGGGTCCTTCCGTCACCTCCTCTTTCCACTTCTCTACCTATCCCCAGCCCTTGCCTCAAGCGTCTGGCCTTCACCCACGGCAGATCCTCTGAGTTTCACTTGTAGCTAAATGGTTAGATGGCCCCTCTTGCCCTGGCATGACAGAGACGCAACTATAAACGGAAGAGGAGCCATGGCAGCCTTTGGAGAGTGGACCACCCAACTGAGAAAACACAGGAGGGGAGAGAAGTCCGCAAATGCATTCTCGGTGCTGGTACTGAAAATAAAGTGTGTGGAATGGATAAATGATGGATAGATGAGTAATTGAAGGATGATCCAATAGACGATTTAATGAATGAATCAGAGAATGAACTTCCAGTCTTGAAGCAAAACTGAATTTCAGAGTTTCTAACACTTGTGCTTCTTCATTGAACACCATCTTCCCCAGAAAGTCTTCTCCAAAAATTTTTATTTTAAGAAATTAAAATTACATACAAGTTCATTGAGAATGTGACAATGCACTTAAGATAACTGAAGCTGCCTAGGGGAGTTTCAGAGCCAGGGCTCAAGATCCCTTATACAGCTGAGTGGCCCCTATCTGTGTTAGGGAGGAAGCTCCAGGTTCCTCAGGCCAGAGCTTTTGGAGGCAGCTTGGCTGCTGGGGAAAGAGAGCTACAAGAGGTGACAGGTGTGGGACTTCTCACTTAACAAACAGGTGTGCCACCCTCATCCCTAGCTGGAAAGTTATATATGTGTCACGTCACCACTGCAGTGCTTCCTACTGAAGAGAGAATTGCCGGGAAGCATTTGGGGCTGCAAACAATTGCATTCTGACATAACTGTTCTGTAAATGTAGAGGCTGTGCTGTAAAGAGGATAGGATCAGAGAGGAAGGAGGTTATGTGGTCAGGGCCTGTTTGAACAGCTTAAAGGCCATTGAAGGCCCCCTGGTTCTCTGAGATAAACTGGCTGAAGCTTTTCACCTTGGGGTTTAGTCGGTGGGTGAGCTGGACATCACGGTCTGGCCTTGTCTGATAGAAACGACACATGTTGGCAATTTCCCTCGCTACAGGAATTCCCAGCTTCTCGTAAGCTTCCGGGGTGATCTTTTAAGAACAACTAAAAAGACAGGAAATGTTATAGGTCTCACTCAAAATAGTTTGAAAAGGAATTATTCATCTTAATAATGATACAGGTCCACAATTCTTTAGCCTATCTCCAAAACCTAAGAAATTCGGATGTCTTTTTTCATAAGCAATTTGGCAGCAAACTGACTTTTCTGAACTAATTTGGTAGCAAAACCTGATCTGAACTTATGTGAAGCTAGTTATGGTCTTTAATTACCTCAGCTAGTGGAAATAGTCATACGTTTTTCTGCAGAGGTATTGATGTGTTTGATTACAGGTTCCTTCCCCAGCCCCTGCTGGTGATGTTACATAAAACATGTAGACCATAACCTAGCTAAAAGCTGAAAGACCCTGAAAGCTGGATTGTTTCTGACCCCAAGCCTTGTGGATAAAGTACTGTGGATCTGTACCCCCTTCATCAGACCAGCTTTTATATACATTTCCTCATGAGACTCCTCCCTCTGAGACATTCTGCCCATCCGACCCTTCATGCAGTGCCAAGGCTCCCTCACTCCAGCACTGGGCTCTCTCACCTTCCCTCCTGGCTGACGTCCCTTCCATTGCCACTCTCGTCCTTGATTAGAAATGAGCATCTTGACTTCAGCCATCCCAGCCTCTGGCAGGGCCAGACCCAAACAAATGCTACCCATCACATACCTACTGAGCCACCTTGCAGCACCTTCCACAAAATCCACCCTTTGAGTCTCTCTGACACTAAATAGATCAATAGTTCCACCACCTGAATTAGCAAAGACAGTTTCTAACTATCAGATCCAATGTAATCTGTCTTTAGTCCCCAGAGATAAACTCTAACCTCCCTTTTCCACTTGGCCTTAGAAAAATGTGACAGACACAAACAACTTATATAAAACAATGGTTGTCATACACCATTTATAATAATAAAAAGTCAAGAACAACCTACATGTCCAAAAACAGAGGAATAGTAACTTAAATTGTGGTATACCTACTCTAAAATATTATGCAATTATTAAAATCAATGTTTTTGAAGAAATTTAACAAAATAGAAAATGCTCATAATAAATGTTAAGTGAAAAAGCCAGATACAAAATGCTACATATAGTGTTATTTTAATTTTATTTAATATTATATTATATATATAATACATATATATTATATGTATGTGTGTATATATATTATATACATATATAATACATATATTATATGTATGTGTGTATATATATATTATATATATATGCTGGAAAAAGATGAGAAGAAAATGTGCCAAATCTTAACAGTTGCTGTCTCTGATAGGTTGAACTATGTGATTTTTATTTTCTTTTTTTATAATTTTCTAAGTTTTCTACAATAAGCTTTTGTTATTTTTGAAATCAGAAAAAACAATTAAAAATTTTATTGAGTTTGGAAATAGAAGACCATACGAGAAGCATGGAAGATGACTTCTAAAATGTCTGTCTCCTTGAATCACTCTCTCATCCTGTAATTTGGATAACTAATATCCCTCAGTAAAATAAGGGATTCTTTTCTGCAGATTTTTGAAGGAAAGAGATTGGTTCCTTGTGTATCACTTTCTGAGAGAACCATGTTCCTTTTGGGGTTAGACAGACAGTTTCAGCCAGACCAGAGTTCCTGGTGGGAGTTTGTTCTGGAGCATGCATGCACTGAAGTAATTAAGCAAACAGCCTCCTTCTGACCAGACTTGGGGGAAAGTCAGACTGTCGAGGCTGGAGCGCCACCTTGTGGCCATATGCATCCTTCCCCAGAGTAGCACAGTGCTTAAGCATTTTCCCACTCTAGACCAGTGGGCAGACTAGTTACCAAGATCAGCATTAACCACTCTCTAGAACTTCCAGCCTCTGATGCCCTAGAACTTTTGATGCCAGAGAAGTTTTTGCTGCATTGTGAAACAACTTGATGTACTAAGAATAGTCAGGGACCGGGTATGTGACCGAGAGATGCTTGGAAGGTTCTGAGCCATTCAAAACAATGTCTACCTGGTCCTCTGAGAATGAACAGACACACACACCATATGCCCACACTCCTTCGCCTTTCTCCCCGTTTTCCTTACAGAGTTCAAACCCCATATGCAAAATGAATATGAGACCCAAATGCAAATACCCTGGGAGAGGGGTCAGTCACTGAGAAATAAATTTGCACCTAGGTACAAGTGACTTTGCAGAGATTTACTGGAACACAGCCACCTGTGTCCATGTTTTGAGTAGGTGGCTGCCTTCTTGGGTTTAGGAGTGACTTATTTTCTCCGTGAAATTTTCTGTGGTTTTTCAGTGAGATCCCCAGATGTGGCTTTGTGGCTGGATTGACACCTACAATGGTTTTCCAAAAAAGAGATCTCTTAGCCTCCTCACAGATCCAGTACCTGAGGCTAAATTGGGAATCTAGGTACCACTTCAAGACTCACTGGACCAAGAGTTGCAGATAAAAACAAAAACCAACCTTCTATCCCTAACTCTAGGAAACATTCTAGAGCAGGGGTTGACAAACTTTTTCTTAAAGGGCTAGATACAAATATTTTAGGCTTTGCAGGCCATATAGTGGTCTCTGTCACAACTACTCAACTCCATCATTGTATCATGAAAACAGCCACAGACAATACATAAACAATGGTGTGGCTGTGTTCCAATAAATCTTTATTTATAAAAGCAGACTTGAACTCTATAAGGAAGAAGGGACCCCTACTCTAGAGAGATGTTAGTGCTGGGTCTGACCTTAGAAGTCATCCAAATAACACTCTCCCTTCACAAATGGGAGAACTGCAGACCAGAGAGGCAGAGATGTATTAGTTAATGCCTGCCAGCTGGAGAGAAGGTATGGGTCCTCCTTCCAGCTCTGTCTCTGTGAGGTACACACAAATACTTCCTTCTCAGAAACCCTGTTCTCTTTCTCCTTCCTCTTATCAACACTTGTTTGGAGAAATAGCTGGTAGTGTTCAATATCATCAATTCCTTTGACTTTTCTGTAAAAGGTCTGTCTTAGCCACACTCAAGTCCAGGCCATTCCAACCTGATCAGTTATTGAGGGCTTACTATGTGCCAAACCCAGTACGAGGAAACTCCCATATGTATCTCATTTCATCCTCACAATAATCCTATGAGAGGTATAATAACCTTTTTTAACATATGAATAAACTGAGGCTGGAGAGGTTGGATAACTCGCCAAGATTCCACAGATAGATGAGGGCAGGGCCAGGATTTGCTTACTGAAGCAGACTGCCTCTGATTCATTCATGTTGATTCTAGAATTCAGCCAGGCCAGCCCTATGATTCCCTCCACCTACACACAGTCTTGCCCACCCCCAAGGACTACCTCAAGGCCACTTCTTCCAGGAAGCCTTCTCCTGCCCTTCTCTGGTCATCTATAGCACAGATAGTGTAGACAACACAATTAAGCCCTGTGACTTCATGTGCATTAACATTTCGCCCCGACTCTGCTGTAAACTCCTCAAATACAGCATCAGGTATGTAATAGATACCTGATATATACTTACCACGTGCCAAACACTATGCTAAGGCCCTTAAATATATTCTCTCTAATTTTCACAGGAACACCCCAACGTAGATGCTCTCGTCCCACTTGACAAGAGAAGAAGCTGAGGCTCAGAGCGGGTAAGTGCCTTGCCCCACCCCAGGGAGCTCTGGCCAGCTGGCGTGATCAGCAATGAGTGCTTGGGAGAGGAGAGTTGGGATGGTGTATATGAAAAAGTTGTACCTCGGTCTTCAGATTCTAAGTTCTTTCCACCCCAAAGTAGTTTTACTTTAACAAGCTGATTAACCTGAAGCCAAAGAGATAAAGCCATAAAGGTGGGATTCAGATGCACCAACAGGTGAAGACAGATTTGTAGAAATGGAATCCTCTTCAATTTCTTCTGTGCCTAAACTCAACCCTGCCTAAATCTGTCAAAAGTCTATCAGAATTTGTAAATTAGTGGGATGTGACACAGGGTGGCCTCTTGTGATCACATTTATGTCTCCTAAGAACTCACCTTTGCATCTCGGATATCTTTCCCCAAAACCTTGGACAAAACATCAGCATATTGCTGTGGTGTTAGCGCTTCTGCACTGAGACCCACGGCCTTGCCTGAAAACTCCTCTGGAGAATTAAAAATGCTAGAGACGACTGCTCCAACATCAGCAACAGAGATACCATCCATCGGTATGTCCCCCATAGGCAGTGCTAGTTAAAAAAAAAAAAAAAAAGATAAAAATAGCTAATTACATCACATTCTTGGTAGGTCCCACCAACTTGAATTAATAAACTACTTAAACAAAAAGGATGGGAACACAGTGTAACAATGAGCGGCCACAATCTTTGCACAGTTATAAGATTTTGTTTAAGAAAATACTATAATACCTGGCTATTGATTTACAAAAAAAAATAAAGTAGCCATTTACTAAGCATCTCTGTGTGCGAAGAATGATTAATTCTATCTCCAACCCAGACATCTCCACTGAATTCCAGACTCATATGTCCAACTTCCTACTCAACATTCTTGCTTGACTGTTCAATAGACATTTTAAACTCAATGTGCCCCAAAATGAATTCCTACACCACCCCAACCTGTTCTCCCTACAGACTTTCCCATCTCAGTTAATGGCAACTCTACCATTCCAGTTTCTCAAGTCAAAAATCTTGGAGGCAGTCTTGACACTTCTCTCATCCCCCCACAATCTATTTATTTGGAAGTCCTATTCATAGTATGTCCAGAAGCTGACCACTTCTCACCGTCTTCACTGCTATGACTCTGGTCTAAGCCACCATCATCTTTTCCTCTGCCAAAGGGCAGAGGAATGCTGGCCAGTGGACTGGCAGCATTGGAATTACTAGGACTCCTTGTTAAAACTATAGTCTTCCTCCCAGACCTATGCAGTCACTCTGCAGGCAAGGCTGGGAACCTGTCCCTAGGGAGTCAGGGTCCCTCTAGGGATTCTGACCATGGGACCCAGGTCAAGAGGAGAATTTTTTCCTGTTGCCACAGAAGGTCAGATGGATGAGCTAGAAGTAGAAGTCATCTTGTCCAACCTTCCCATTAGACATAAGCAAACTGAGGCTTGAGGTCACATAGCTAACAAGTACCTACTGTACGTACATAAGGAGCATCAGTATGTTAACACTGGAAGTATAATCCTTTGTGTTTCCAGTCCAAGATCCAGTTCTCTGTTAGGTCTAGGACAGTTTGGTACCCCTGTCAGCACTCGGCACAGAGCTAAGCACATAGTAGGCACTCAAATGATATGTGTCCACTGAAGAGACAAAGGGAGGGAAAGAGCAAGGAGGAGAAGGCAGAACAGCAGGTACCTGGTTAACTCCCACGGCAACCTTCCACTTACTCAAGGTGTAGTAATCTCCATCAGAGGCTTTCACGGGCTTCCACGCAGTGAAAAAGTTTTCAAAGTAAGCTGCCACGCGGACACTGGTCATGGGAACGCCAATGGACCAGAAATACTCCTCCACCTCTCCCTTCGCGTCAAAATGTGGCACTTCCAACTTCCCGCCGCTCAGGCGCTTGACGTTCTCCAGGCCACTGAACACCACGTGCTTCAGACCCAGGCGCTTGGCAGTATCCGCCACCAGCTTTCCCTAAGGGACAGAAGTAAATTCTTTATATGGTTGGCTGAATTTGCATATAGACTAGAGGGCAGGTGCTAGGTCCTCTCCACATCCTTCTTTTCTTATTGTCCTCCTTGGAGAGGAAGCTCTTCCAGCATCAAAATATATTCGCTGTCCTGGGAGAGGCCACCAGTATTAGCGAGCAGAGGCTGCGCTATGTCAAAATGCTGAACCCCATCAGAAGCTGAGAGGCAGCCTGGTGGGAACAGTCAGGAACATTTGGCCCCTTCCTCTAGGCTGTCAGAATCTTTGTGACCAACTGCCGCATTTATGTATATATGAGGCTCAGTGATACCTGAGAAAACAATATATAAGAACGTTTTCTGACGATGGATTATATCTGCACAGCATTTGGATATTGAGGGCAGTATATATACACATATGTTCTTTTGTGTGTTTTTAGTTCCAAATTTCCCAAAGCACCTTCATCTTTCTCTCTCTTTTTTTCCTTCTGCTTTCTTTTCACTGTTTCCCTGTTTTTTTTTCCTTACAAATCCTCATGTAGCAGGCAGAGAAGCCATAATTAACCTGGTTTAGTAGACACAGAAAGTGACGCAGAGAAGTGACTTGTACCCTTAGGTTTCTTAGTGAGTGAAAATCGGAATTAGAACCCAGAGTTCCTAAAATAAGCCCTTCCAAAGTTTAGCACTAAAAGACAAGCTGTAAGTGGTATAATTAATTTAACAGACATTCCTGAAATGGTTCAATCCTGCTCTTAATTTTTTGAATTGTGCCATTTCTGCTAGAGGCTGATCCCATCCATTACATTTTTTAAATTTAATCTTCATATTTTTGTAATTTATACATATATATAATTTTCAAATAGTACTGTCATGGAGGAAAAAAGTCAGTCTTATAATGACATAGAAGTTCCCTGCGCCCCCATGCTGATAACTGCTCTCCAGAAGTAACCACTTTCATCTCTTTTAGCCGCTTCTCTGTTTCTAAATAACACGTTTACACTGCTAATTCTTGATTTTTTCAGTTTAAGATATCATCTACTAAATTCCTACTATGAAGGATGAGCTCTCACCTTTAGTGCTCTCAATTTCTCTCCCTCTCTCTGACTCTCTCACACACACAGAGCCCACCACCACCGTCACCATCACACATGTACACAATTCTCTTTTTCCTGTCTTCCCAGTATCATAATTTTGGGCTGGATCAACAATTAGTGCTTACACACAGCTGAAGCTGAGCCATGTGATATTCTATGGTTACATTTACTCTTTCTACAAACTTTCGTTTTGCCTAGAGTTAATCATTGTGGGTTTATTTGCTTGTTTGTTTAGTTCTTTTTCTAGGTACCCATTACTAATTCATCCCAAAATTCTCTGCTAGAATGTAAATATACTCGTTACATTTTTGTTCTTCCCATTTCTCTCTCAGAGCAATCTTAATTTGTGGAGTATCCTTGCTGCCACCTCTCATATGCCATCTATAAACAAATGGTGAGAATTAGGGAATCTAATGACTGGTTCCATCACAGTCACTCTCAAATATTCAGGGTCTTGAGATTGCGACAAGTGTCACATAACACTGACTTCACAATCAAAGACACCTCTAACAAGTACCCGAAGTCCACATATTTCATAAAAACTGGAGTGATGTTGTGGAGGGAGGCTTATATTTTTGCCCAGACTGAAGGCCTACCCGCTTCCAAGAAGCACAGAGCAGCCAGGGACAGTAAGAGGAAAGGGCTTAAAGGTGGTTCCCACCTGATTCAATTCCTTCTCTTTGCTGAAATGGTCCCAGAAGTTGGTCACCAGGAAGGCCCCATAGGCACCTTTCAAGGCGGCTTCCACTGATGCTTTATCATTTAGGTCGCCTTTGACCACCTCGATGCCAAGGTCCCGGAGCGCCTGTGTGCTTTTGGTTTAGTCACATCCCTGGTCAGTGCTCTCACAGAGAACTTTTTGCTCTTCAAAATGGCCCTGGCCACAGAGCCACCCTGAGCTCCTGCAGGATTGCAGAAGAAGAAATACAGGAAGGATCAGGAACAATGTTCACTAAAAGAAGTTGGTTGGGAAGTCCCGTTATTCAGAGCAGCGCTGCTGTAGTAATTACTTCAGGAGATATCCCCCTGGTTTGCAACAGTGGTTTTCAAAGTAGGTTTCTCATAGCCTCTTCAGAGGTACCTTTGCAGAATCCATGGGGGAGAGGAACAATGGGAGAGGCTGAAGGCAACAAGGATGCCAAGTGAGCAGGGTGCCAAACCCTCCACCCCAGATTCAACTGGGCAATTCTACTTTTATTTTGTTACAGATTTTATTTTGAGCTTCTTCACACAATTTTATTTTCAAAAGAGGTTCATATGCTATAGTTTTAAAAAAGGTCGAAAACTTGCAGAAGTTTCTTTCTATGGCATTCAAAGCCATTCATGATATGATCATTACTTGCCCAATTTATCCACTCTATAAATATTTTCTGAATGTCCTGTGATATATGCCAGGTATTGTGCTGGGTTACTGACATTTGGAATCCTCCATCAGACTGATGGATACCTGTCCTAAATATTTTTTTCTGTGCCTCCAGATCCACCTTCACCTTCTCCATCCTGCTGAGTGCCCTGGGAGGCTGACCTGTACAGACTCCATCAATGGACTTTCTTGCCCTTAGGTTGGGTTTGGCCAAAGGGAGTCATCAGCAGGAGACCTGAGGGCAGGAGGAGAGGTGACCCTCTCCACATTGCTATTCTCCCCAGATTGTGCTCATCTCTCTTGCCCTTTGCTCCTTCCTCCTGTTGCTTATTTATTTTTTATTGCTCTCTTCTCTGTCCATCTTTATTAAATTTCCTCAACTTATCTGAAAGAGTGTGGCACTTGTTTCTTGTGGTACCCAACCGATATACCATTGATACCCCTATCCGTCTGCTGTTCAATGAGCTCTGCCTTTGCATGTGAAGCTTTAGCCAAAGTTTAGTGCTCTAGTAGCAAATATGCACAGATAGCCAAAGTTCATCAGGGGTTTGAGGAAAGCCTCCAACAGGAAAGGCAAAACCAAAATAAACAGTGATAAAAGGAAACAGAAACAATGCAGGGATCAGAAGGAAAATTTAAAAGAATTAATATCCTCTGAGATTGGAGAAGATTTTGCACTCAGAACACTACATCTACATCCCGTACCAATAAAAGGGGAGGAGGCAGGAGAAAAAGACAAGAAGAAGCTCTTGAAATTTAAATTATTGTAGCAGAAATAAATTTTCAACAGAAAAAGTTGGAGAAATCTCCCAGTATTTGAAGAAAAAAACAAAGAAATAGAAAATAGGAGAGAGAAAATGTTAGGATCAAGCCTGGGGAATTCCAGGTTGAGAGAAAAGAGAAAATAGAGGCACGGAAATTATCAAAGAAGATAATAATTTCACAGAGTCCAAGGATATTGACTGAGCTTCCATATTGAGGGGCCACTGAATGCCTAGCACAATGACTAAATAAAGTCCCACATCATGTACATCATTGTGAAATTTCAGAACACTGGGGATAAAAATATCTTAAAAACTTCTAGGGGGGTGGGGATGGTCAATTCAAAGGTAGGGGATAAAAATAGCACCAGATTTCTTTATAACATTGGAAGCAATAGAGTAATGCCATTTAAGGGGGAAATTAATTTCTATCTAGAATTTTAAATCTAGCCAAATGATCAATTAATTCTAACAATTTTATGTAAAGACATTTTCAGACACGCAGGGTCTCAAAAATTTAACTCCTGTGCACTCTTTCTCTGTAAACTACTGGAGAATGCATTCCAGCAAAATGAGAAAGTAAAGCAAGCAAGAGGAACCCACGAAATAGAAACCAAACCCAGGAGAAAAGATAATTATTAGAATAATGGGGAAGAGAAGTCCTAGGAGGATTGAAATAGAAAAAGCTAGCACTCCAGGAGAGAAGTCTCCATGGGGGGAGAAAAACAGAACCAAAAGATTAATTGACATGTTTGCTCATTTTGAGAGAAATCATTCAGCTTTATTGGAGAGATTAGAGAAAAATGAGTGATAGGTACAAAGAAAACTAAGCAAATACAAAATAAAAGAAATTATTAATTTCAGGGAAAACAAGAAATTATGTAAGAAAAGAAAGTGCAAGCTCAAGTATGGCTCAAGTATGAATATAATTACATAGTGATAATAAGACCTCAAATTTGTCCATTGTCCATATGAAAAACAAAATTGTTATAAACTGTATGGGGAGGATGAGGAAAAGGAAGTATGTCCTTGGGGCTGGGGATGTAGGAAGCTAAAGACAATGGATAACATCTAAAATCGAAAAACTAAAAAATAGCATATTATCACATTATTTAGAAATATGGAGACAAATACCAGTAGAAACAGAAGAGTTAAATGTGGAAAGGGGTAGGGTGAGGTCTGCTGGGTTTTTTTATAAACCTTGTAGGACTACTAGACTTTTAAAACTATTATCTGCACTTCTGTAACAACAAAAATTCAATAAAAAAAAATTTGTTGGGGCTGGCCCGGTGGCATAGTGGTTGAGTTTGCACGCTCCACTTCGGTGGCCCGGGGTTCACAGGTTTGGATCCTGGGCGTGGACCTATGCACCGCTTATCAAGCCATGCTGTGGCAGGCGTCCCACATATAAAGTAGAGGAAGATGGGCATAGGTGTTGGCCCAGGGCCAATCTTCCTCAGCAAAGGGAGGAGGATTGGCAGAGGATGTTAGCTCAGGGCTAATCTTCCTCACCAAAAAAAAAACTTCTTGAATGTATTAGTTTGCTAAGGCTACTATAACAAAATATCACAGATTAGTGGCTTAAACAATCAAAATATATTTTCTCACAGTTCTGGAGGCTAGACATCCAGGATCAAGGTGTTGGCAGGTTTGGTTTCTCCTGAAGCCTCTCTCCTTGCACTGCAGATGGAAAGCCTTCTCACTATGTCCTCACATAGTCCTTTCTCTGTGCATGCTAGCCCCTCCTGTCCCTCGCTATGTCAAAATTTCCTCTTCTTATAAGGACACCAGTGAGATTGGATTAGGGCCCACTCTCATGGCCTCACTTTAACTTAATCACCTCTTTAAAGGCCTTATCTGCAAATACTGTCACATTCAGAGGTATTAAGGATTAGGGCTTCAACATATGAATTAGAGGAGGGACACAATTCAGCCCACAACATTGACTACTATAATTATTTCCTTATAACCTTATTACTAACCGGAGATCTCCCTGAGAACAGAAATTGTTTACTCTTTACCCCTGTTTGCCAACCACGTTCTGAGACTAGTGCCTGGCATATTGTCAGTATCTATTTGTTGAATGAATAAATGAATGAAGCTTTCAGTATCTATTTATTGAATAAACATATGAGTGAAATGGAAAGAATGAAACCTCTCAATTCTTAGCTTTGGAGGTAGACAGTCCTGCCTGGACCACTGTGAGACAGAGAAGCAAATGACATGGATTAGTATGAAAAAATGAGAGGAGCTGGACCAAAACCAGGACTGGCTCTCCTAACCACTCCCACTTTCATGTTTCACTAAGACTCAAACCAGGAGAGGAATTCCTCATTCTTGGCCCTATTCCTCTAGATTAGCAGGACACACAGTAAACCTATCAGCTCAGAAAAGCAGCCCCCAAAGCACTCATTCTTGTCATACTCAGTTGTCCCAGACCCTTTTCACTTGTTCTGGATCATGCCCTCTTGGACCCAGTTCCCTTCCAGGTGGTTCCACGTTGAAAGTAGCATTTGAATGGCAGGCACTGGAGATGCTGCTCAGCATCTGACATGCAAACACATATACAGGTAAGGGTTAACAGGTGTCCCTGTTAAATTTAACTAAGTATCTTGTATTTTTATCTGCTAAATTTGGCAACCCTCCCTCAAACACCCAAACACACCCAGCACCTCGAGCTTACCAAAGTTCAAGAACTGTGAAATAAAGTAATTAGCCCATCCCTTTAGCTAACTAGGAATCAACTTTCTTCAACTTGGACACATCTAACCTGACTCCTTTAGGAACCACTCCCAAGGCTCATATCCAACTGCCTAACCTAGATACCTAGGCAGCAACTCAAATTTAACGAGACTAAATGGAGCTTCCGACCTTCCTTGAACTGCTTGACCACAGTCTTCCCCATTTCAGTGAATCACAACTTTATTCTTTCAGTTGCTCGAGCCAGAAGACTTTGAAGTCATTCTTTACTCCTCTCTTCTCACCTCTGATATCTGGTCCATCGGTGAACCCTGTCAACTCTCTTTAAAAACATACCTGGAAATCTGACCTCCCCACCACCTCACTGCTACCACCTTGGTCTGAGCCGCTATCATCTTGCCTTGTTTATGGAACAGCTTCCTAAATGGTCTCCTTGCTTCAACCCCTGTCCCCTACAGTCTTTTCACAAAACAGAAGCTAAAATGAACCTCTTAACACTAAAGTCTTATGTCACAATTCTGCTCAAAATCCTTCCGTGGCTTCTCATCTCTTTCAGGTAAAACCAGCATCCTCACCATCACTCTAATGCCTTATACAATCATCGCATTACATTTTTTTTCCCTTCTAAAGTCAATATCATGCCTGGCTGTTGGTTTTTGAGAATTTACTTCTCTCTTCTCTCTGCTTTAGCCCTTGCCTCCCTTCAGACAAAATCCCTGTCCTCGTAGAGGTTGTATTCCAGTGTGGAGAGACAGACAGTAATGGAAGAAATCAAGCAAGGAGGGCAGCCAGACAGTGGCAGGGTGGAGCAGAGTTGCCTTTCCAGACCTCCCTAAGTATGGAGGTCTGGAAAGTGCTCATGGAGAGGGCAACATCTAAGCAGAGGCTTGGATGACGTGAGGGAGAAAGCAGTGTGGGTAACTGGAGGAAGATTATTCTAGGTTGAAGGAGCAACCACTGCAAAAGCCTTGAGGTAAGAGTGTGTTTGAGGAACACGCAGAGTAAGCGAGGGAGACTGGTAGAAGACGAAGTCCAAGAAAAATCTCGCAGGCCATTAGCTGGACTTTGCATTTTACTTGGAGTGAGTTGGGGGGCGTTGGAGAGTTTTGAGCAGAGGCGTGACATGATCTGAGAGTTTCAAATGGGTCATCAGGAGGCTGAAATGAGAATAGATTGAAGAGGAGTGAGCTGATTTGATCAACATTTTGCAAAGATGGCTCCGGCTGTTGGACAACGGATCATAAGGGAGGCAAAGTGGAAGTGGGGATGGCCGTTAAAAGGCTCAGGCAGCTGTCCAGGTGAGAGAAGTCCCTCAGCACATTCTACTAAGCCCCACCCTCTCCATCTTTTCAGAATCGCTGGAGTACTGGTCAGACATGTGGATACCCCCTACATACCCACGGGCCTCACACTTGCTCCTTTTGCTTGTCAGGAAGTGAGTGGAGAGAAGTCTCCAGAGTATAGCTTATGTTGAAACGAAACTACACCAGCAAGTCAGCACATGATCAAGAAAGAGAGAATATGTCAGTTGTCCTTGTCCCGCTGAGATCATTTCTGACGAATCAAGTCAAATCACCCTGCCCCTTTACCACATCAGAAACTCAAGCAAAAGGATACTTTTCCTCATTTCCTCCAAAGGGCTCTTTGTTCAGCCCATGCTTACAGGCTCTGAAATTAAAAGCAGGAAGACAGGAAAGTAAACACAGACAGCATGCACTTTAAAAGTAAAGAGTTTGTTACCTGTTGCTCCAAATACTGTGATTACTTGCTTGCTGGTCATGTTACTGGACAAAGAAAGAGTTAATGGAGTAGCAGAACCTCCCTCAGAGCAGCAACAGTAGCTGAAATGCAGTTTCTCTTCGAGCGTGAGAATTATAAACCATGTCTTATTACCACAGCCCTTATTTTGCCCCTCCCTTATAAAGTTTTCTTTGTTATAACCAGATATCTTACTCACTGTGACACAGCAATTTTCTAAGCCAGGATTCATTCATTCACTCACTCATGTGTTCAGCAAATATGTATTAAATGCCTTTGGTATACTAGGCATCGAATTACAAGCCCTGGTGATCCAGAAATTGTAAAGGAGATAAACTAGTAAATAAAAGTACAGTAGAGAGGAATGGCAGAGGAGACATAGGTCATGGAGGAAAGAAAAAAAATCCAGACTGGAGGTGTTAGGGAAGATTTTTCAGAGGAGATGATGCTGGAGCTGGCCTGCAGCCCCCATAAGTTATTCAATCAAGGAGAGCAGGAAGAGAGCCCACCTCAGGCAGGAGGAACCACATGTAGCCAAGTTCAAAGGCAGGCAATCATAACACAGGACTCATGATGGCTGCAACAATACTACGTGGGTGGCAGGAAGTAAAACTCGGAAGGGTGGCAGAGGCCAGAACACAAAGGGCCTGGTGGGCATGGCAAGGACCTTGGATTTATCCTGACAGCCACAGCAGGTTTTATGTGTTCCTCTGGCAGCAGAGTGGAGGCTGGGTTGAAACAAGACAATGCTGGAAGCAGGGACACTCCTAAAGAGACTAAAGAAATGATACAGGTGAGAAATAACAAAAGCTTGAACGGAGGCCGTGTTATGAGTTGCATTGTCTCCCTCTAAAATTCAGATGTTGTAGCCCTAACCCCCAGTACCTCAGAATGTGACCTTATTTGGAGACAGGGTCTTTACAGAGGTAATCAAGTTAAAGTGAGATCATTAGAGTGGGCCTAATCCAATAAGATTGGTGTCCTTATAAAAAGGGAAAATTTAAACACACATAACATACAAAAAGAAGACAATGTGAAGATACAGGGAGAATGACATGTGAAGAGGAAGATGGCCATCTATAAGTCAAAGAGAGTGATGTGGAACAGATCCTTCCCTCACAGCCCTCAGAAGGAACCAGTCCTGCCAACATCTTGATTTTGGACTTCCGGCCTCCAGAACTGTGCGATAATAGATTTCTGTTGTTTAATCAACCCACTTTGTGGTACTTTGTTATGGCAGCCCTAGCAAACCAATACAGGCAGTGACAATGGAAGTGAAAGATATTTAGGGGGTAAACTGAGAAGGTCTTCATGATTGATTCGATATAGGGAAAGAGAAAGCAAGGAAGAGAAAGGATTAAAAAATGACTCTGCCAACTGGGTAGGCAATGGTGGAGCAGGAGCAGGGCTCAGGAGGAAATACATTCAGAATTGGACCTCTTGGGTTTGAGACTGCAGCTTGTTGAGTGATTGGGAGGTGAGGAAGTGAAGAAAGCAGGTGTAGATGTCTCCTTTAAGGAGCCTTGCTATAAAGGAAGTGAGAGCGAGCTGTGTCTGTAAGATGAAATGGAATTTTATTTCAATAGGAAAGATGTGAACATGTTTGTGGGGTAAAGGTTGCTTTCTCCATGCCTCATACTCTGATTTATTTTTCTTTATAACACTTACGGCTTAACATGTTACAGGTATGTTTATTTGCTCATATGTTTATTTCTGTCCCTCCAACTAGACTGTGTGCTCCATGAGGGCAGCGACTTTGTTTTACTCACTTGTGTATATCTCCCAGTGCCTACAGCTATATCTGGCACATAGTAGGTGCACAGTAAATATTTGTTGAATAAATATATAAATAATTGGTGGAGTTAGGTTCTTGAGGAAGCTGGAGTGTGTGGACTCTGCAGCACAGAAGAAGGGGTGCTGAAAATAACAGCCATTGCAAGGATAACTGGCACTCTCTGCCAAACAGGTATGAAGACATGCAAAACGGGGGAGGTCATGGGTCTGCAGCCCATCTGACCCTTGCCCTTCCCTCCACTCTCCCACTATCACCCACTTCTTCCTAATTATCCTTGCAAAAGGAAGCAGTTCTCCTAACTGCCCCTTTCTACAGGGTAACCCGTAATGAAACTGAGAGGTAAACTCAGGAGTTGTTACAGACTGGAAGATTGGTCATGCACATCTGTCTATTTCTTGAGGGCAAAGGTCCAGAGGCTAAGCTGGACAAGCTAAGTCCAGAGGGTCCAGTAAGTAGGAAACTGTATGTTCTCATTTCTAAGATAAAGATACTAATGGAATAAAGTCAGGTATGTCACAAGAAAGATAAACTGTGCCTCTGCTACCCTAAACTACACACAATCCTACACTAGCCTTATGGAGAATTCTCAGTACCATTCCAAGCAGACATGCAAAGGAAACAAAAAGATTTATATTCAAGGCAGTTTATCCATAGCATTACCTGTATTGAAAAAATACTGGAGGGGCCGGCCCCGTGGCTTAGCGGTTAAGTGCCTGCGCTCCGCTGCTGGCGGCCTGGGTTCGGATCCCAGGCATGCACCGATGCACCGCTTCTCTGGCCATGCTGAGGCCGTGTCCCACATGCAGCAACTAGAAGGATGTGCAACTACGACATACAACTATCTACTGGGGCTTTGGGGAAAAAGAAAGAAATAAATAAAATTATAAAAAAAAAAAAAAAAGAAAAAATACTGGAGACAATCTACATATCCGCCACTTGGGGATTAGTTAAATAAATTATGGAATAGCCATAAGACAGAATGGTATATTAAAATATTAAAAATTACATTTTCTAAGAATTTCCATAATATAGGAAAATGCTCACAATATAAAGTTAAATGAAATCAGCAGAACAGAGAACTGCATATATAGTGTGATTCCGGGTTGTAAAGAAAAACAAATGTATACACACACACATATGTAGCCTAAGAGTAGTTGAATGATTTTCTGTGGTATGTTGGTGGTAGAGACAGAGGACTGGGCATGACATGACATTATTGCTCTCACACTTTGATTACAGCATAGTACTATGACATGCACATTCTGAGTTGACTGAGAAAAAAACACATACTTACAGAGATTAGATTGGTGGTTACCAGAGGGGAAGGGAGGAGGGAGAAGAGTGAAAGGGGTGATAGGGCAGATGTATATGGTGATAGATGGTAATTATTCTTTGTGTGGTGAACATAATGTAGTCTACACAGAAACTGAGATATAATGACGTACACCCGAAATTTACGTAATGTTATAAACCAATGTTACCTCAATAAAAACAAAAAAGTCTATGAGTACATAGCAGCACTGTTTATGATAGCCAAAAGTTGGAAACAACCCAAATGTCCATCAAGAGTAGAATGGAAAAGTGTGGCATATTCATACAATGACATACTGTACAGCAACAAGAATGAATGAACTATTGCAACATGCAACAACCTAGAAAAAATCTCACAAATAAAATGTTGAGCAAAAGAGTAAAGAAATACCTAGCATATGATTCAATTTCTATAAAATTCAAAAGCAGGAAAAACTAATCTATGGTGTTAAACATCAGAATAGTGGTTACTTTTGATGGTAGTGATTGGAAGGAGCTTAAGTGGGGCTTCAGCTGGGCTGGTAATGTTCTGTTTCTTGATCTGGGTGTTGATCACATGCATGAGTTCACATTGTGAAAATTTATAAAACTGTACAGTTAAGATCTGTGCAATTTTCTATATGTATCTTATACTTCATTAGAAAGTTTACTTTAAAAATAATCTTTAAGAAAAAATAATAAGTTTAAGTGACCAAATAGGAAAAGCTAAAATGGGCAGGTACCAGCCTGTAAACATTTACAATGGGTGGAAACAAAAGGTGTGGCTTTTTAACTAGGCAAATTAACTTGCCTTTCCTACCACGGCAAGTAGCGACCCATTCAGAAGACTATGTGCTCATGGGGAATAGTCAATGATGCTTTGTAGTTTGAGGGCGTCTCGAGCTGATGTCAAAGTTTATTTAGGGTCCTCTTGATGAAAGGAGTCTGCTTTTTTGGTCCCCCCAGAGAACAGAACGGGCAGGATTCTCTTCTAATGCTCAGCTGTGCACTCTCTTGCCAATGCTTGCCTCTCACTTCCAAGTGTAATGAACTCCACCCAGTCAACTCTCAACCAGAAAGCTGTATAACATAATGATTAAAGCTGTGGACTATGACTGTCCTGCATTTAACACTCAATTCTATCCCTTGCTAGCTGTGTGACCTTAGACAAGTTTTAAAAGTCCCCTCAGCTTCAATTTCCTCATCTGTACTGCAGGGGGTAATGATAGTATCTACTTCATACAGGTGTAGTGATGACTAAATTAAATTAAACCACTTAATCTACATGATACATTCAAGAGAAATGAATTGTTGTTATTTCTCAACACATTTTTCCCTATCAGGCTAGTTTCCTCCGCCAACCAGCCTCTCTTTCCACATCACAATTCATCTTCTCCCACTGCACTAAACTGACATGTACTCAAATAATGGCAATTAGCTTATAAAAAAGAGAAATGTGAAAATAAATCTGCCTGGGGGGTGGGTGGAGACATGAAGCACATGGCAGTCCAAATGGAAGGGATTTAGTGGTTAGCCCAGCTTGAGGGCTCACGTACTCCCACTCTCCACTACAGTTTCCCTTGCAAGATGAACAGCACCTTGACTCGACCCTTTCCTCAAGTCTCAATAACACCATCCAGGGAAACAGAGAAGCTTAGGGATCTGGAGAGGCTGTCTTGACAGGCCAGGACTGGGGTGAGGCGAGTGAGGCACTCACCTCAGTGCAAAATTTAAGAGATTGCCAAAAAACTCCATGATCAAGATAAATATGTTAATGCAATATTTTTAAAAATCAAAATTAATCCCAAAAAATCCATGATGAAAAAACATATCAAAATTTTAAAGACAGGATCCAACAAGGCCAGGATTAGGGTGAAGCCAGGGAGGCTGAGTCCAGCAAGTGCGGGACTCCTGAGCATCTTCAATTCTTAGATTTTACCCAAGAGAGCTGCTGCTCTCTCTGGTAAAAAATACATTTGTTTAATTTTCTTTTAAACTAGATAACACCCTTTCTGCAGGAG